GGCTGGCAGTCAAGTGCTCTGAAGTTGCTGGTGGCTATAGCTTCAGCCGTGATTAGCATGGAGACATCCTTGCTCCTGGGGCTTGCCTGCCGGAAGGGGAGTCTGGAGCCTTACAAAGTGGGCTGATGATGTCAATTCCCCAAGTTCTACAGGTGACTGCAGAATTACATGCATTTTAAAATAAACCAGGCTAAACTGCCTGGGTTTTGGTATAATGCAATCTATCATTCTTCCACAGGAGAGGGTTTTTGTGGGAGGTGCTTATATTAAATATAACTTTGAAATAAAGAAATCCCATGTTGTTCACTTCTGGTGGCCCCATCAGAAATTTAGTGTGGCAAAGAACAAATGTGCTGTGAAACCCTTTAGTTGAGCTCACTTTGCTCACTCTTTTTTTCTTTCTCTGTTCCTCTCTTTTTCTCATGATAAAAAGTGATCAATTAAGAAATTTATATGGATGATTTATATGCAAAGTTGCTTTACATACAATGAGTTTTTCCATGATATTGCAATCCTATCTCTGCTTTAGCATTGCCTTTGTGTTTGAATTAATACAATAATATTATCAAAGCCAGCCTCCATTACACAACTGTGCGCCTTCACTTTGAACGCGACAATGTCATTTTCAGATGAAGCTATTTGTCCTTGTTAAAACAGACAAGACAGTTGGTACATTCAGACTCAATTATTAAGTCGCGTGATTGATTCTGAGATAGAGCTGGGAGCTGAGGCAAATGAAAGTTGCCTTTAGTTGTCTGATGTTCTCTCTCTTCTGCTGAATCTGATGGGAGAATGACTGGTAATACTGGATGTGAGAGGGAAGCAGGGAGTGGACTCAGATCAGTTCCCCCGGAGGCTGACTCTGAGACAGTTCGGCGTGCAGGACGTTTAGTGAGCTGTGCCTGGGGATCCGCCCCCGGAGAAGACGGGGAGGGGGTGACGAGAGGGGCGGGGGGAAAGGCGTGAGCTGCCGTGCCGCTCGGCGATGGCAGTGGTGCTGCGGGGTCTGCAGGGCTGCGCTGAGCCGAGGCCTTTATACTCTGCCCTGACCAGGGGCCAGGGCACGGCCCCAGCGAGGAGGCTCTCTGCGCCTGAGACCATCCCTGAAAAGGTTGACAGTTGAAGGCTGTCTGCAGGCAGCCCGGCTGGGGTCTAGGTGCTAGATTCTAGGGCAGTAGTCCTCAGCCAGGGGTGATTTCACCCCCTGCGGAAATGTGACAATGCCTGGAAATGTTTCTGATTGTCAAGACTGGGAGCCTGCTCCTAGCAAGTGGCTCGAGAGCGCAGGGAAGTTGCTAGGCTTCTTGCCATGCTCGAGGCAGCCCCGGGCAACAGAGCGCTGCCTGGTCCCAGATATTAACAGTGCCAAGGTCAGGAAGCCCTGCTAGGACAGAGTGCGTGTGCATGCTCAGTCATTTCCGTCGTGGCCGACTCTTTGCGACCCTATGGACTGTAGCCCTCCAGGCTCCTCTGTCCATGGGTTTCTCCAGGCAAGATACTGGAGTGGGTAGCCATTCTCTTCTCCAGGGATCTTTCTGATCAACGGATTGAACCTGGGTCTCCTGTATTGCAGGCGGATTCTTTACCATCTGAGCCATGAGGGACGCCCCTAGGGCAATAGACTCCCTGCTTAAAGCAGAGCCTGGTGGTCATTACAGTGGCCAACAGGAGAATCAGCATTAGCTGGGATAGTGCCCCTTGTCAGGCACAGTGCTTTATGTTCCTCATTCCTCCTCATCTTCCCACAAACCCCTCAGGAGAACTTTGAGTTTCCATCTACTGATGAGGAAACAGATGCTCCAAGCAGTTAACTAAACTCTCCGACATCTTGAACGGAAAGGGTGTCCAGGCGGGATTTCTAGCAGACTGGCTTGTGGAAACCATTCTAGTAGCTAGCAGTTTCTGCTTGATGGCTTGATGCAACCATTCTCAAACTTCTCCCTTTGTCTACCTGGAGCACAAGATGGATAATGTTTATGTGTTTAGTTTGTTTCCGTGGAATTCCTGGGGCATCATCTGTAAACTCACCTCTCCCCACCGCATTCAAAAGCAAATGAAACATGAGTGGGCATGGCTCAAGTAATAAGAATGATTCTGAATCTTCTCTAATGTGTACTTCTAAGCAGGCCATTCCTGAATGTCAAGTCGTTACTATTAGCAACAAATTACTTATAGTGAGCGTGCAGTTAATTTACATGCCTATGGAGAATCTTGGTGAATGCCTGTAAAAAAAAACTACAATATTTTCAGGAGAATTTGCTCCATACTATCTTTTCATGGTTGTGGGTCACTGGATGGATTGAGTGGTTCAGGAAAATCCTTCAGATTTACTGGCACCTCAAGAATGTGAGGAATCAAATAATTAATTCATTTTAAAAATAGCTTCTACTCCATCCCAGAAACTGCCCTTTTTTCATTAGCAACTAGGAGCACTTACTAGTGAAATGACTGGAAAAAAGTGTCTCACAGATTTATAACTAAGCTCAACAGAGTCTATTATTAATATTACTGTGTCCAAAACAAATCATGTAAATTGTGACTTTAAATAGAAGATCCAAGTGAAGGGAATAAATATACATTCTTTTAAAATGCTAAGAAAAATAAAATGCAATGCATGTTTAACCCAAAGACATAAATAAAAAAGGCTTAAACATTTCATTATGATTGAGCTCAGCCATCATATTAGTTATTACAATCAAGAGCAGCTGCAGTTTTTTGAATTTCTAGTGCAACATCAGTCCTTTTTTAAACTATCCTGTCATGAATTCCTGCAGCATACTTCTATATGGTAAATGTTATCATCTGCATTTTTCCTGGGAAAAGACAAAGATGATAGCAACTCGATCAGATTTACATATAGGTACATTGGCAAGAGGACATCACCATTCTGAGATCCCCTCCTGTTGTTGGAAAGCTCGATTTTGACTTCACTCTATTTACATTTATTCATTGACTCTTTCAATCAAACTCTAAATATTGCTAAGTAAAGTGCAGTGTCTTTTCCTGGGCTGCTATAACAAACTGCTAGATGGCTTTAACTGCAGGCGTTCATTTCTCACGGCCGAGAAGTCGAAGACCACAGTGCCAGCAGATCTGGCGTTTGGTGCAGATGCAGGCCCTCGTTTGCAGACGGCCGCCTTCTCCCTGGCCCTTCACTCGGTGGAGAGCAGAGCATGCTGTTCTCTTCCTCTTCTTTTCAGAATTCTGATCCCATCGTGGAGGCTCAACTGTCACGACCTCATTAACTCCCAAAGGTTCCACCTCCAAATACCATCACGTTAGAGTTTCAGCTTCTACATTTGGGTGGACACAAGCATTCAGTCCACAGTGTCTGATATAAGCAGTAGTTTGCCAGCAAGTGTATAAAAAATGACTCAAAAAATTAGTGTGCGTGCTAAGTCGCTTTTGTTGCGTCGGACTCTGTGCGATCTTACTGACTGCAGCCCGCCAGGCTCCTCTGTCCATGGGGATTCTCCAGGCAAGGATACTGGAGTGGGTTGCCATGGCCTCCTCCAGGGGATCTTCCTCCTCCCTAGGTTCTTATGTCTCCTGCCTTGGCAGGCAGGTTCCTTACCACTAGCGCCACCTGGAAAGTCCAAAAATTTAACATGCTACTTCTGTAAGTCTATTTTTAAGTTTTACTGATACAAAGAATGTGTAGCACGCAACTTAAATGTAAGAATAGAATATGTTGTCCGGTTGCTAAGCTGTGCCCCACTCTTTGCAACTGCATGAACTGCAGCACGCCAGGCTTCTCTGTCCTTCACAATCTGCCAGAGTTCACTCAAGTTCATGTCCGTTGAGTCAGTGACGCTATCTGACAATCTCATCCTCTGCTGCTCTCTTCTCCTTTTGCCTTCAATATTTCCCATCATCAGGGTCTTTTCCAGTGAGTTAGCTCTTTACACCAGGTGGCCAAAGTATTGGAACTTCAGCTTCAGCATCAGTCCTTCCAATGAATATTCAGGGTTGATTTCCTTTAGCATTGACTGGTTTGATCTCCTTGCAGTCCAAGGAGCTCTCAAGAGTCTTCTCCAACACCACAGTTCAAAAGCTTCAATTCTTAGGAACTCAGCCTTCCTACAGTCCCACTCTCACATCCATACATAACTACTGGGAAAACCATAGCTATAGGAACCTTTGTCGGCAAAGTTATGTCTCTGCTTATCTGAGGTTGTTCGTATTTCTCCTGGCAATCTTTATTCCAGCTGTGATTCATCCAGCCCTGCATTTCACATAATGTACTCTGCATATAAGTTAAATGAACAGGGTGACAATATACAGCCTTGCCATATTCCTTTCCCAATTTTGAACCAGTCAGTTGTTCATATAAAGTTCTAAATGTTCTTTCTTGAATAGAATAGAATATAAAATACCCTTTATTAGAAATTCTGTATATCCAATTGATTCTTACAGAATCCTTTTGTTAAATTTTATCAAAATTTTATTTCCATAGCCAGCTTATGGTTTCAGCTGACACAGATAAATGTTGACTGGTATTTTCGGATTTTATGCCACCAACATGATGTCGCTTAATACAGAGCTGGGACAGAATGCCCAGTAGCATACCACACTGGTATACTGTATTTCCACCAGACACATATAAAAGACATGGTCATCTCAATAGCAAGGGTCATAGTAAAATGGGGCAAATAATTAGGACTTGTTGAGAAATGGTTGTTTCTTTTAGATACAACTTAGTTCATTGTAGGCTTAGATCATATGATTTCTTGTAACTATGTTTAACAGTTGGTTCCCACGATTCCTGGTAATTTGATCCTTGGCTCTTATGAGCTGCAATAATTGCTGGTAAAGAAAATTTAATCAAATATACCATTTCCACAATGTTTCCTACTTCACCTGAGTGGAGTTCAGAGCTCAGAGTATGTCAGTAGAAGCCATCCCATTATCAAGCAAAACAGATGTTGAAACAGATGTTTTTGGGTTTGGGGCGAGCTGGGCCTTTAAAATTTATTCTGTTTTTTGTGGTTTGTTTGCAGGCATTTCCCTGTATCTCAACAGGCATTTATGGTAAGTGATCTATCTTTTGGTAATGTTTATATTTCTTTATTTTGTTGTTAATGTCAAGTTTAACAGGAAAAATTAGAGGTTCTCTGATGGATGTAGTTTGCTGTCATTTAAAAAGATTCAAATACAGGTCAGATTTCTTTGAGGAATCTCAAGAGGCTATTTGGAAATTTTGGGTGTTACTGAATTTAGTTGTATTGCATACCAAGTGCAATAATTAGGTGCACTGTGGCTTAATATCTTTTGTTATGTAAAAATGTTTTCTCTCATATAATCTGACCTCTACTAGTGTTTTCTTTAATAAAGTCATATTTTTCTGTCAGACAAGTCATAACGCATATAAAAATCTAACATTACCATTATTTTGTTGTGAATTAAAAAATTATAGAAGCATTAAAATGCACACACATGCATATATCTATATATTTAATTTAAAAGATGTGATTGTTAATATAAACACATTTTTGATTCAAAGTAGATTTTTTTTTTTCTGGTATCAATAGATTGTTTTAAGTAGCAGCTGCTTTACTTAGAGATGGAAGCAAAATATTTTTTAAAACTTCTTGTTTGTACCAGCCTGAAATTCTCTAAATATTCTTTCACCTACAATGGCTTTTCCGTATACTTTTTTCCTCATGTTGTTAATAAATCTGTTTCACAATATTCAAGTAAAACAGAGTTTATTGTTTTAGAGTCTTCTGGTCAAACAAATAAGATTATGACTTTTCTGAGCTCAAACTTCTCACGTGGAGACTTTTAAGTGAAAAATAAAATGCATGCAGATGTAAAGAACTAGTTTAAATTTGTTACTACAGGGAAAGGATAGTTAAAGTGATGTCAGAGGCAGGAGACTTCTTTCCTCCTAAGGCAGTATTTTTTAATATTCATTTGGCTGCATCCAGCCTTAGTTGCACCGTATGGGATCTTTGATGCACATGGTCTCTCTAGCTGTAGCGCTTGGGCTCAGGTGCCCTGCAGCATGTGCAATCTTAGTTCCTCAGCCGGGGACTGAACTCACATTCTCTGCATTGCAAGGCAGATTCTTAACCACGGGACTGCTAGGGAAGTCTCAAAGTTGTTTTTTTTTGTTTTTTTTTTTTAAGGTTTCAATGAAAATAAAGTCGAAAATGTAGGCCTGAATTAAATGGGAAAAGATTTGGTGACATTATTTAAAAATCAAAGGCATGCTTTCCCCCTCCCCGCCGCCTCTGGATTCCACAGCAGCCTGTCTTTGGGGAAATGCAGAGGACACTGGGCTGGTGAGCTAAGGCTGGCCCATCTGCACCATCACCCCATCACTGCCACTCTTTCTGCCTCACAGGTGCCCAGTTATAACTCTCACTGGTATATTTGCTTAGAAGAAGCATTACATGCAACATTTTACCCGGATCTTCATGTCACCTTGTCTAAAGGCAAATCAGACTCCACCACAGAAATGGTTCTGATTTTGAGAATATTCTCACACGACGATCTTGATTTTCCTTAAACAAACAAACAAACATACACACAAAAACCCAAAAGCCCCAGACAATAGTATGTCACATTGCCTATGTCTATTTTATTTCTGAGAATCTGATGCTAGTGTTCAAAGACTTTCAGAAACTGAATTTAACAGCTAATACACTAAAAAGGGGGGAGGTGGTGGGGAAAAGAAACAGAAAAGTAAAGGAAGATGAGCATGAACCCTAAAAGGAAGGGCTCGAGAGAGGATAGTAAAAACGGAATCAAAATTAAAGTGGCTCTGGATTAATTGTGATCCCTGAAGGGGAGGGGTTTCTCTCCTTAGAGTAACGTGGCTCAGTGTATAGTAACTCAATCAGTACTGTACTGTGTTGGTGGGAGGAATACTGAAGACTTGAGAAGGGCGTTGATAGGGAGCTATAGTCGCTGGTTTAAAGGCTGCTACCACATGAGCTCAGTCTATTTTCAACACGCCAGGTCAAAGAATGTGATTTTCAAGTCCTGGCTGCTCATCTCGTTTCCTATCTAGGTTTTGAGTAAATTTCAAAGTGAAGCTGAAACCTGCAAGTCAGGTGCCATGTTGTCTTTCATTAGTTGCACTTGAGCTTTAGACCCAGACTTACTTTCAGCTTCCTGAGACCTTTAGAACATTTAGATTACTCTCTGAACCATTTAGCATTTTGTAACTTGGAATTATGTCACATGTCCTTGTGAAACTGTAGCTTTCTAATCAGTCCTTGATTCTCTCCTAAGTACTCACATTTTATGGCTCAGTGGTTTTCTTGCTGTTTTTCAGAACTTAGTTCTAGCTCCTCTATTATCTAGATCAATTTTACTTTTATCTTTACTTATTGGCATTTGAAAGAATACTTTATTTGAAGAAAGTGATCCACAGCTAAAAAGAAAAAGAAAATTAAAAGCAAATCAAAAACACACCACACACACTTGTATAGGTTGAAGCTTGATCTATGAGATGTCTTCCTTGAGTATTCCAACTCTTGATGGTCATTACATCTTTGAAACTTTTCAACATTTGTAATCTGGACAGTTAATAATTGCCGGTTCATATTGTTCCATAGATTTTTAAGAATATATCCTGTGTTTGTAGCCTATCTGGAGCTTTTTTGTGAGTAGGGATTCACTTGTGTATATTCTACACACACCCAGTATCTAGCATAGTGTCTCCTGGAGAAGCTCAGGAAATACTGCTGCTCGATTATGATAGTGATGTTTATAACCCCAACTGATGACTAACTGATGATACAAGAAGCAGAATTGTTGATTGGCAAAATAACAAGTAGAGAAACTACCTAGTTGGTATTTTCTTAAGTGGACAAACATCTCTATTTTAAGAGAAACAAATTTGCTTTTAAAAAGCGCTCTCAAACTGGAAATGATAACTTTACGCATAGCACTGTCCGTCTTCACAAGGAAAAATGAAAACTCAAGAACTTGTTTAGTTAGAAACCAAGCAATCTGTGTGTGTGTGTGTGTATTTTTTTTTTTTTTTGAGGGGGTTGTATTTGTATAACTGATTCACTTTACTGGTACACCTGAAACTAACACAATACTGTAAATCAACTCTACTCCAATAATTGTATTTTTAAAGGAAAGAAAACCGAGATATATATAGCACTCTATTTCACCTAAAAACAACAACAACAAAGTCTTCACTATTTATCATGGCCCATCGAATGATGATCTCTCAGGGAGGTACTCATTGCTCTTAGACCCCATCCTGACTTTTCCCGACATGCGCTAGTCCCAGCCCACCGCCCCATCTACTGTAATTTCTCAGACACCCATTTGCTTTGGATTAACCTTCACTTTTAGGTTTATAGCCCCCAAACTCAGTGTAACTCTAATTCTTCTATTAAAACAAAATCACTGACTATGGTAGAGCCTTCTTTGGAAGGGTTTGAGTTATTTAATTGCCAAGGTGATCTCATACATGGCCATTTCAGCAGTAAGCATCCCCAATTTGTGGAAACCTAGACATAATCTCCACATTCAAAGCATGTCTGGAGGATCCAGGCTTTGAGACGCTGGAGACCCTGGCAGAGACCAGTTCCTCTCTCGCCCTCTCCTCAGCCCTCAACCTTTTGGAGACAAAACCAGCTGCATCTTTTTGCAAGACACAGGCTGACAACTATCCACCATGCGATTCAACCCGATTTCAGAGAAAAACATGATGGGAGCAGGCCCTGCTTGCTTTGAAGTTTCCCTGGATGAGGAGCTAGACTTTTCCACTTCGATTTTCAGCCACTGCCATTGCTGCCCCCAGTGTAATCTTTCCAGGCTGGTTCCACAGGGCACCAGACCGCCTGCTTACACTCAGGATGAAAAGCCACATTTGGTAAAATGCTGAAGCAAGACTTGTGTTAGTTTTGGAAAAACAGATCCAGATGAGGCTTGCAGGGGCTCTAAACTCCCAGATCCTAGTTAAAGGTTTGAATTGGCCGCTAAACCTGTCTCAGAGGGATAGATTTGAGCTTCCCTGATGGACATTTCAGATCCTGTGCGTGCCTTCTGCCCTCTGAGCCCAACTTGGATACTCGGGTGCTAATAAGTTTAACACAAGAGGCTAGACATGATCCATAGCAATGGAATTTTTACTGAGAAGTGAGCAGCAAAAATAATTTTTATCCATTTTATGAGAGTCAATATAGTTAACAGAAATGAAGTCCAGGTGGAAAAGTATATCCTTTGAGTAATTGAGAAAATATTCTCTGTGGAGGAAAACACACACACACACACACACACACACACACACACACAACAAGACTTGAATCTTCCTTTCCAGGTGCAAGATGGTGTTTTTAGAAAGGAAGGAATTTCAGACATTGAGTTATTGGCTGGAAATCTGGTGAAAAAATTTAAGAGCAGCATAATTTAGTGAAAGCGGCTCCCATATTTATTCATACGATTTCTGTTATCAACGTGGAAGGCCTGTTTCTAACAAATCACCTGGTCTCCCTCTGCTTTCCATGACATGCTGCCAGAACACAACTTTCTAATTGAATCCCTCATTTGCATTCAAGTTTGCTCTTCTGCTTTTAAGTGGTAAAAAAGGAGATCCACACGATGTTTCGCTAAGCTTATATCTACTTGGCAAATATTTTTATCACTACATCTGTCTACATTCACAGACATGACTTGGAAAGAAACCAGGGCATTCTCCAAAGGCAATGCTAAAGGGCATGCCCTCCGTCAGCTCTAAATGCTGACAGATTTCAGAGGGTGTGCCAACCACGGCTGGGCAATTTGGGGCTTGTGGGAAGACTTACCTGATGTAATACATTTGGAAACTAGAGCAAAATTGACAAAAATGTGTGTCCCTCCCTTTCATCCCCCTGACAGCTCCTCTCCTTCCTCTGGCTTTCTTCTTTTCCCTTTGATATTTCCTTCTGCTTTGAAAACTTCCTTTTAGGTGGGCTAGTGGTGACTGTTACTCTCTCTCATAACTTCCCTTCTATGACATCCTGTGTTTTTTGTCCTGGACACATAATTCCCACTCTTGGAAGTGTTACTGTTCTTAATAA